ACGCTTTTATCACAATAATACTAGTATTTTTTGTTCATAATTATTTTAAAAATTATTTTTAACTTTTTAGTTCGATGTGCTTTAAAAGCGTGTTTTTTTAGTTTTTTAAACTATATTTATTTTGTACGGCTTGCTTTTGATGGTTTTTATGGTTCAATTCACTGTGTTTTGATTGCGTAGGGCTCAATACAGTAATTGATACATCAACAATATTCATTCTGGTACAAGGCAAGGTCAGAATATACAGGGTGATTTTTTTATCATAACCCACTCAATTACTTGCAGAATAATAATAATTTAAACATTTTTTTTTTTTATTATCTTTAGTTACACATTATTCTTGAATTTTTAACTATGTAATACTTTTTAAGTTCATCCCTTATGCCTTGGAGGGGGGTCAACTTTGTTTTTTTAAATGGTAACACATATTTTTAATTTAATAAAATGTTTGAGTTTTTAATTTAATAGTAAATGGCATTTGAATTTTTAATATAACTTTATTAGCTTATTAGATATAAACATTTAAAGTTTCAAAATTTTGAGTTAATATACATGTATAATACACATGGGATTGTAAATACAGGTAGCTAATTGGATTTTTATGACATTGCTGTCTCAGTCACGGATTGTTTATTATCAATTATGATTATCAATAGATATACTTTCTGTATTGTCAGTTAGTGTATTTATAAACTCATAACAATGTGCCTTACTACAATTGATAATAACAATGCTGTGTACCTCCTAATATCGATGTTATAAAAANATAAAAATCCAATTAGCTACCTGTATTTACAATCCCATGTGTATTATACATGTATATTAACTCAAAATTTTGAAACTTTAAATGTTTATATCTAATAAGCTAATAAAGTTATATTAAAAATTCAAATGCCATTTACTATTAAATTAAAAACTCAAACATTTTATTAAATTAAAAATATGTATTACCATTTAAAAAAACAAAGTTGATCCCCCTCCAAGGCATAAGGGATAAACTTAAGAAGTATTACATAGTTAAAAATTCAAGAATACTGTGTAACTAAAGATAATAATAAAAAAAAATGTTTAAATTATTATTATTCTGCATTAATTGAGTGGGTTATGATAAAAATATCATCCTGTATACATATTTGTTTTTGTTTAAATATTAATTTGTTAATATATTTGTGTTGTGTTCATGATATTATTCTAACTATAAGTGTACTAACCATAGATATAAGAAAATTCATTGTAGTTATTATATTGGAATACATATTTAATTCGGTAAATAAAATTACAGTCCATTAAAAAACGTTATTCTTTAATTTTAGAGACGTGATTTCATTCGGCGATTGGTCGTCCGAGTATTTCGCGTCGCACAACTGTCAACTACTACTATTAACTTGAAAACAATTATTTTGTTACATTGATTTTGTTGTTTATAATACTAAAAGAATGAACAGGAATAGTTTTTTTGGTCGGTTGGCAAGATATTTGACGTGCTGAATTTCAAAGAAAAAGAAAGTTATATAGAGATTATTACTGTGTGGTGACATTTTTGATGTTTAAAATATGATTACCTAAGCATCTGGTAGACGATGATAGCCATTTTTCTCATAAAAATGTTTATTATAATTTCAATTTAAAGCATCATTTTAGAACCACATTTGGCTACACTTCTTCTACATCCAAACGATCGGAGGCTAGGCGGTGGCGTTCGTTTAACAATATATGCAATATACTCGTGGTCAGTGAAGAATGCTTTTGCGTTTAAGATGGAAACACGTGGACTCCACAAACGGCGTGGCCTAGAATCCCCTATTTTAGCTTACTTATATGTGTATAAGCTCCGTGCTATGATCACACGGAGTTGAAGATGTTTCGGTTGTCTCAGACTGTTCTCAGCTAGGATTGTCAAGTTCCTGACACAGGAAGTCCTCGTTGTCTTTAAATTTTAAACCGAAAGGACTATTCTACAAACATTCTATGTTACTAGGTTGCACTCAATTATGTTGATTAGCAGCCGCTCCGGGATCTTACCTAGTTGTACAACATGCTCAGAGATCGTCTATATAAGCTATAAAGAGACCTTTATAGCTTATATAGGTTGCCTCATTTATGAAATATCTAAATATTAAGAGGAACTATATGATGTTGTGATTTCATTGTGCATACATCCGATGTCTGTAGAGCGAATAAAAATTTTTTAAATATTGTATTTTTAATAGTTGGATTTCAGATATTTCAAAAATCTAATTTCATGCATAGTAATGGTGCGTAAAAATACTTTAAAAAAATGGATTCAATTATCTTTTAACAAGTACAATAAACCAAAATGCGCACTGGAAAATTTATTTTATAAACTGCATGTATGCGGTGGATTGGATATAAAACAAGCCAATACCTTTAAACATTCTTAACGTACGGAATATGTTAATTTCAGGAAATAATCCTAATGTTACTTCCAATCAAACTCGATTTTATTGAAATTAAAAATATGTCATTTCCCCTTACATTCTAATCGCAATTTTTTATTTGATATAAGGTAATCTAAATATTAATAAATCAACGAACATTTTTATATTAACATAGCATGGACGATGAAGCACATATCGCTGAAACCTTATTAAAAAAAATCATTACTTAAGATAATCAATAAACTTTCTATTTGTTATATTCATTAAAACTAAATAAAACATTATACATTTTCTAAAAAAATCATTTTTAAAAGAAAAAATTTTGGCTAGTATTCTTAAATACATTGTATACGAACAACAATTTATTCAAATGATTCAAAAAATAAAATTATTTCAATAAATAATCAAATTAAGTATTATATTAATAATAAACTAAATATATTTTATTTTTAAAGAAAAATTAAATCTAAATTTAATTTATCGAGAAAGAATAAAATTTTATGAAATGAAATAAACAAGAAGTACATAAATTTAACATCATAAACTAAAATCAGTTTGGAATAAAAATAGTGTAATAATTAAGCAGACATAATATATAAGCTGCGAATATTTATCAATAATTAATGCTTTTATATGCGATAAGTATTTTTGGTATTATTTAGTTTTGCAGAATCTCAATTCATTAGCAATTAATTGCTTTAATTTATCCTTGCACTATGTAAGCCTTACATTGTAAGGGTATCAACATTATATTTTTATCATTCATATTTAACTACATATAAAATTATATACATTATAAAATTAAAAATGTCATAAAACTAAGAAAATAACTGTTTGGTAAAATAATTGTGCCAGTATTTTGAATATCATTAACATTTTTTATCTCAGCGAAAGGAATGATAAGGTCGAGAAATGTCTTATGATAACTATATTTTAATATGTTAATAACTTTTAAAATAATTTGTCAAAATATGTTATTGCTTGATAATTTACTTAATTATATTATTTATTTTATTTTATAAAATAGTTAAATATGTAGTTGCCATTTAAAAAATAAAGTTAAAATTCCTAATTGCAGATGAATTGACAAACATTAAATAATTTTAAATAGAAAATGTATAAAACAAAAAAGTACTAAATAATAATTTTTATAATATTAATACTATTAAAAAAAAAATCGAGTGACTATTGTTAAAAAAATCACTCTGTATACTAAATTTGAAAAAATTAATGTTTTGAAAATAATTAACACATTATACAATATTCAGTATTATATCACTTTACATGTTGTATGGCAAATAATCGATCATATAAAGCGGTATGACAGTTTGATTTTTAAGGGTGTCATTTTTATCAGGATCATCTTGTAACATCTCTAAATTATATTCTGTAATATAATCTTTCTTAAAAAATCCTATATCAATATTATTGCAATCATTCCTACTAGCATTGTATATTTCAAAATGTGTTTCAGTATCACAAATAAGATCTGAAATAAATAAAATATTAGTTTAAAAAATGCACAAATTGCAAATAATTGTTTTGGTTAACAAAATAAAAAGATTTCTAAATAAAATGTTTAAATTATATATAAAACTGTTATATTTGTAGGCCAATTATAAACAAAAAGATTAAATATTATAGAAGCATAATTAAAATTAAATAAATTATAATTTGTTGAAATTTTTTTTTTAAGAGTTATGTTAATTAGGATGAATATCAGCGCATTTTTTCATATTTAAAAAAAATACAGTAATTATTATAAAATAAATCACTTCATCACATTAAGTAAGTATTTGGAAAAAAAGTCGAATAATAAATTATAAAATAAGTTTTATATTCTCTTTATATAAACCAATATAATTAATAAAAATAGATATTACAATATGTATATTTTGAAACTAAATTTAAACACTATTCTCTTCATACATCAGGCAATTGTAAGTTGTATAAAGTTATTTGTAATAGAAAAATTAAAAGTTAAAAAATATTTTAAGAGTCTTACAAAAGTATCAAAATTATGATTACATAAATAAAATATTTGATAAAACTTTTACAAATAAACTAGCACAATTCAAAGTATAAAATTAATATTTTAAAGTGATAAAATATTATATTTTAATTACCTTTTTTTGTTAAATGTATAGCAGATATTGCACATAAATAATATAAAGAATATTACACATTTATACTTACTTGAAACTTTGAAATCAATTAAATGATTATAAGTTGAAACTTTGAAATTTGGAATTCTACAAATTTTTATTATTAATTTAATATAACTATTCCATTTTTTCAAATCTTTCATATATGTATCAACATTTTGCATGATTTTTTTTAATTGATCTTGAATTTCATTAGCATTATTTTCATTAATATTTTCATTTCTTAGAACAATATAAGATGTAAAATAAAATTTGTTTTTGATAAAAAAATTGGTAAGTAATTTAATTAATATATTACTGAATCTTATATTCACATTAGACAACTCTGTATTTCTAGTATAATTGTTTAAGCTATAAACAAGTTCATTAATGATTTTTAACAGAAATTTTGTCCGTTGCTCATTGAACAAGCCATAAGTAATGAATTCTCTTATATAATTTAATATTATTCGACCCGTTTTAATTAATGTCGATTTGAAACTTTTTGGTACACTATCTGAATTCTTTGATGATGCAACTATAATTAAGGTTAAAAAGTTTCGTATAAGAATAGCTATTGGTTGAAACGTAGCCAAAATTACCATGTTTATATATTCTAAAACATCCTTAGAATTAAAATTATATTTCATATACTCAAATATATCTTGTATAGTTAATCGAGTACCGTCAGAACATTGAACGTCTAGTGGAGTGAATCGAAGTAAATTTAATTGTATGTGTTTACTATTATCTATTTTTATAATATTATTTTTGTTGCTGATAATCTGTTGGGTCATTATTTCGTAAAACAAAAAATTTTTCGGATGAAAATTTTCGTATGAATTTCTTTCTACTGATAAATAAAACTTCTTTAATATGTTATCTTTGAAATGATTATTTATATTTATTAGATTAGTTGTAGTATATTCATGTCTTCTGATTGGAGGATTGCAACTAACCATGTAATCAATAAATGGTATATTTTCACAATTATTAATAATGAAATTTTTTAATTGATTTTTAACTGCGACATGAATAATTTTATAGCCTTCTAATAATTTTGTAGCATCATTTTTTTCACCATCTTCGGTTAGTGAGATCATATTTAAAGAGCCAGAAACGTTATTTAAGTACATATTTAACGTGATCAACGCAAGAGGAATTATAGATTTCTTATTGTTCATCAAATCATCCAAAAATATCATAATTACTTCACTGTGTGTTTGTAGTGCCTTGCCATAGTTCATAAGATTTTTAATTGTGATATAATCTTTATTTTTTTCGAATTCTAACAAAAATCTTTCATTATGGTTAAAAAAGTTTAGAAAATAACGACTATGGGAGCACTTTAAAAAGTAAGCATAACTTAATCTTACTTTTATAGACATTATTACCACAAAAAGTAAAAAAAAATTCATTTTGTTTTTTGTTTTTGTTTAGACGATTCCCTATAAATTTCAAATTAAAAAAAATTGCGGCACTAATTGTGAAAAAAATATTGAGTATTATTTATATGAATATTATAATATATCATATTTGATCAATTTGTCTTTGGAAAATTTAATTATAGTTAAGTAATCGTACGTTTGTCCTCATACACTTATTGACTTAATTGTTTAACTGACGTAATTGTTATACTTTTATAGCAAAAGAAAAATTATAATTATATCATATTTAAAATTTTTTGTGTATTGAAATATTATGGATTAATAATTACGAATTACTGTATGTTTCGACTGAATACATTTTTTACCGATTCGCGGCCAAAGAAAAATTAAAATTTTTAGGTAAAAATTCATAGGACGTTTTTTTGATATCAAATTTTTTACAAATATAATATAAAAGTGGATTTATTAAGGTGTTAATATTTCAATGAATGTCCAAATGAAAAGTATACAACATTTAATTTCACCATTAAGAACGCTGACTATCTGATAATAGGGTGTAATAAGTAGTTTATTTTTATACTACTTCAATGTTTAATATATTATATTAAAGAAAAATATAAAAAAACGCTATCAAGTGGCTAGCGTTAAAAAAGTACACTGTTTACTACTAATATGGAAAACTTTACGCATAATTATAATATTATAACTAGAACTTTAAACGAAATATTTTGTTGGGAAACGTTTACAGAACATTACATGTTAGTTTTAAATGATAATATTAACATAGGTTAGTTAAAATTCTTTTGATGTTCAAAAATCGTTTAAAATAAATATGTACGGAATTGCTGTTCAATTATCATTTATTAAATGTTAATTTTTTTTTTAAATATTTGTAGTTTTACTGTTCTTTTTTATTTAAGAATTTAATTTAGATACACATTATTATTTTTATCTGTATACAGAGTGATCGCAATATGATAAGACACTTATTTTCTCAGAAACTATTGAGAATTTAAAATTTTTGTAAAAAGAAAAATTATCAAGCTTATAAAAATTTACAATAATATGAAGTTGCATAAATTTTTTTTTTTATCCCTTCAGGGATAAAAATGTTTATTTATAATTTTTTCAAATGTACACCACTATTTTTGATTTGATAATATGATAGAAAAAAATTACCAAAAATTTTGATTTGATAATATGATAGAAAAAAATTACAAAGAATTTTGTTTTTATAATTTTTTTTATCTGAACAAACGTTTACGTTTTATAATTGTTTAAAGATTTTGACTTCCAGAAAAAATATTGTCATTTATTACGTTTCATAATATCGGTGGCAGTGCAATCGATATTTTTGTTAGATCCTTGTCTTACAAAACCATAGACTTAGCTATTAATGATACACCGAAAACCGATTTAAATCTATTATTGTTATCACTCATTTAGTGCGTAGTAAATTTTTATAGCTAATTTACCTATCATAACTTGATCAATAAAATTTGGTTTATGCAACAGTAAATAAAAATAATGTCTTCTGTATTTAATACAGTAAAATGACAATGGAAATTTGGCCTAAAATCACTTAACTTTAACAGGCTGTAACGGATGAACGGTTAATCGGATAATAAAAATTCTAAGAAGAAAATTGTTTGTAATTTTTTTTTCTATCATATTATAAAGTTAAAACAACCCAGCACAGGGGGGTCGCGGCAAAGTGGTGACGTGGCATAGATGGTTCAAGTATAATGATATCTGACAGTGATTAAAATCACTATCAAAAAAAAACGCTTCGATGCAAATCTTTAGATAGTGTTTAATTTTAAAAAATTGGTGGATTATTCCAAAAGCTACATGATCTGCTAGTTCATTATTAATATCCTAATTAAGGTAAAGTATGTCGAATGAAAAAGGGATTATTAAAAAATATTATTTCTTATAAAAAAATAATGTTGATCCATACACTTTTAAATATGTCATAGCATTATAAAGTTAAAAATGTAAAAAATAAAATCGAGAATTTTCACATAATAATAGCATTTGGTAGCCATTTTCACCGTGAAGATAAAATAAAGTCC